GTGTCCGCCTTGGTTATCCTTGGCTGAGGATCACCAACCCACCATTGGACAAGCAACGGGCGCGACAAGATTCTACAGTGTCTGTTTGAGAGAGGCATCGGAGTCGAGACGACGCAAGCAAAGGTCTGGCCGCACTGTGCTGGACAGCCCGGAACTGGGTTGCCTCCTCCTGGTGGTCCCCCCGGTGGTCCCGCCGGTGGTCCGCCGGGTCCTCCTGGTGCTCCTGGTGGAGGAGTTGATGTAGGTCCTGGTGGTCCTGTTGTTGTAGTCCCTGGCGCAGGTGTTGTGGGCCCTCCTGGTGGACCTGGAGGTCCTGGTGGAGGATTTGTTGTCGACCCTGGTGTAGGCGTTGTTGTAGGCCCTGGTGTCGGTGTTGTTGTTGGCCCTGGTGTCGGTGTTGTAGTTGGCCCTGGTGTAGGTGTGGTTGTGGGCCCTGGTGTAGGCGTTGTTGTGGGCCCTCCTGGAGGTCCTGGTGGAGGCCCTCCTGGAGGTCCAGGTGGACCTGGAGGCCCTCCTGGAGGTCCAGGCCCCTGCAAATCTCGCGAAATCCCGCCTGGTGGTCCCTGCAAGGGTGCAGCCGGCAGGGTGGCCAAGACTTCCACCTGCACGGGGTATGCAGAATTTGCTATCGAAAGCTCATCTGCAGCCCGAGTTGTTCTGCAAAATCGGGCTTACTACGCAAAATCACAACCCGTTGCAGAACAATGTGCGCAGCACACTTTTTTGCTGCAGGCTTGCTTGCAAGGACGCCTGGCAGCACACTTAAACCCGAAACCCTGAAGCCTGAACGTCGTTCGTTTTCGACGCAGGCCCTGCAGAGTGAATGCCCGCCGATCGCCAAGAGCTCCTGCCAACACCGTGGTGCGGTTTCTTGTTAATGTTGTAGCACCGCTATGTTTCTGCCAGTATTAACTTGAAGCCTGATGCACAAAAGCTGTTGTTGAAGCACGCTCTGCGGCTATGCCTGCCGCAAGTCAGGACGAGACGACGCCTTGGTAAACATCTCAAGCCCATTCCAGATCTCATCCTCGTACCCTCGGCCTTCAAAACCGCCCTGCATCACAAGCTCAACAGACATGTCCTAACCCTTTGCGAGAGATGTTTAAGCCTTTATTCCATCCATCACGGTTTACATCATGACTCGGAAACTCCAAAGTCACGAATTCACGAGCCCATCACTTCTAGGATGTTGGAATTTCTAGAATCCTTGAACCCCTCAGGCACCCGAAAATGCTTACTAAGGCTTATCGAACATGAGAGCCCGTCAACTCCCAAAGCATGTAACCGCCTCAGAGAGGAAACTCGTACCGACAACTCCAGCTCAGAACCCTCTCTGTGATAGGCCGCTAGTGACGAGAGGACTGCTGTTCCAAAGAAGCCTCGCATCTGAGCCAACGCAAGAGTGCTCTTCTTTCATCCCCTGCCCACCCCACAGACCTTGTGTCCCGTCGAGTGGATCCCGGCTCCGGGACCCCGGGAATATATCCTAATGCACTGACTAACCTCTATAGTTCAAAACCCCTAACGCCAGAAACCTCAACTTAGAGCCTCAGGCCCCTTGCGGCCTTTGAAGGGGCGGAGGCGCCGGAAGGAGGAACACCCCGGAGAGCAGGAGGAATGCCAGGCTAAGGGCCTCGCTGTAGGGCTAAAACCCTGCAAGCGGGTTCGGGAACAGGGACGATTTTTCATAGTCTTCGGGGCGATTTATGGGGCCACGAAGTTGAAGCTTCCTGTGTGGTTTGCCTGAACATGATTGCTCGATGTGTCTGTTTTGCTTGCTTCCCCTACTCAAACGGCGCAGGAACGCGTTGCGCATTCTTGCACTGATTCCGGGCTCCGTTTTTTAAGGGTTGCCTCTTGGTTTTTATTGGAGCTGGGGAGGGGGGATGGTGACGTCCATGTCCGGCCTTCTTTTCCGGCCTGTGCTTTATCGGCTTCGTTTGCTACATGCCTGAAAACGTGGCCTGGGCGCAGGATTTGTACTTACTATTCCAGACTGACACGCTTCGCGGCTCAGCAAGACAAAACTCACCTGATTTCTGATTTCACAACGATTGTTTTGCTGGATGCATCCTGTACGCATGAGCATGATGCGCATCATTGCACAACGCTTCTTTTGTGCGTCTTGTGGGTTGTGGTACTTGTCTCTTTTGTGCGTCCTTGTTTGAGTTGGGGGGGCTCTGGGGAGGGGTCGGGAGCTCAAGACATCACTTTAGCGACGAAGGGCTGCACCTCAGGCTCAGTCAGAGCATGCCTGAAAACGCGGCCCGGGTGCAGGATTCGAGCGATTCCACCATGCGACGCTTCTTTTTTGATTCGTTTCTTCCCGGATGTGCATTCCCGTTCAGTTTCAGGAGATGCTCGTCCCTGAACTTGCAAACACCGGAAACAACCTTTCTGAAACGTTTCTTTCCACGAACCAAAAACCAGAAATGCCGACAAAACCGAGTCAAAACAACCCCTGTTAGTAAAACTGCTGGGAAAACCCCAGGCTGACCATCGTCCTTTCATCTTTTCTAATGTTTAAACTAGATGTATATGTACACATAAATACTCAGCATCACATAGTTGCAGGTACAGTGATTTGTTACCTCCTGCATTGCTGAGCGAATCACTAGGTAGGGCTGTAAGAGTTTACAGGCAAATGTGTACTACTGCGTACTGCAATACTCAGATCCTCCAATCTTGGGTTTGGCGTGGGATGAAGGCATGGCAGGCCAAGCTTGTCGAAAACAACACAATGGCAGAACTGTTGCTCCTCAGGGGTACATGCTGAATCAGCCAACCCGGGAATGTCGGATCAAGGCTGCTCAGAAACTACTAGGATCAAAAAGTCGTGACACCAGCTTCATTAAATTCAAGCCTCACCATGATGCTCATGGCCTGTGGATATGGTCTATGTCTTCAAGATTGTTGCAACATCGTAACATGCGCTCCGTACTTTTAGCGCAGCATGGCCGGCAGCAATGCGAAACAAATGCCTCGCAACTGGTTCGGACCAAGGAGCAACCGCGCTGCGCTGCCAGGACACCTGAAGGAAAGGCTCGTTGCGTTGGGGCTTAAGACAGCTGCATGGTGTCTGGGTTGCTAAAGCTTCGAGAGGTGTGGTTCATGTCACTTAGAATAAAACGTGCATGGCCCAGTCGCGGATCGGACTAGTCTCTGTGTGATGTTGTGTCATGCACGAAGTTGTGGATCTGAATCTGTCATCCGCCAAAGACATGGTTGCAGAAAAAAATTCACTGCTGAGATAGCGTTAACTTATCCCGCAACAGCTAGCCGGGGCACGTGCAACGCCTTCGGGCCGACACTCTCTAGACCAACAGTGTGTGTGTGTGTGTGTGTGTGTGTCAAAAAAGGCGGCTTATATATATACACACATATACACATACGTATATAGATAAATGCATACATACATACCTACATCACATAGGTTCATACATATTCAATCACATACATACCATGCATACATACATAACCTACTTACCTACCTAGCTAGCTACCTATCTACGTACACCCACACATACATACATACATACATACATACATAGATACAAGCATACATACATGCAAACATATAATGCGCATAACAAACAGTACTCATTCTCATTCCTGCTACTAGGACGACTACGACTACCACCATGAGGACGACGACTACTGCTACTACTATGACGACGGCTGGCACCACTACCACATACTACCACTATCGCCACCATGAATGATGACGATGCGTATCAGTAATTGTGGCATTCCTATCATTAGCATTGTGCCTGGCTTTTCCGACTGACATCTTCGGCTCGGAGGCCTGCTGTGGCTGCCTCTGTGCGCTTGCAACTCGAGCCACCAACCTGGCTGCTCAGCGGCGTGGCTTCAAGACAACTCGTGAAGCGCTTGGAGTTGATTTTGTTTCCTCTGCCTCAACACTTTGCAAGACCTAAGAACAGTCCGACAGCCCTCATCTCTTCGCTGATCGAGCCACGGATCGCGCTCGGCGAGCTCGGCCCGCATGGCTCTCGCAGCGGCGGCGCAGGCAGCGGGCGCATCCGCAGGACCGCTTGGAGTGATTAAATTCAGGTCGTTTCTTGCGGTCTTGGGGGGGGCTACAGGCTAGAGCTCGGTGCAGGTAATTGTGGCTCAAGCTTCTGAGGGCTGAGGGCTTGACCGCTCTAATGAGCGAAGAAGCTATGGTGTAGCTGCCAGCATTGGCCAACTTTCCTCTGACCCACATGTGCGCTTAGACAGACGGCTTGTTTGTGCTTTCCGCCACGATGTCCGGCAAACTGAGGAAGCAGAAAACCATGAACGCTGAAGTTCGCACAAAATCCAATACTCGACCATGCCGAGCCACGCGCCTGCTACAGTCGTCCACGGTCTAGTCTACACGCAAAAGTACCGGCTTAGATCCAGCTTTTGGTTTTGCGGGTGTGAATTTGTTTTTTGAGGCTATGACCACGACTCAGATCATTGCAATCGTCATCTTCTTCCTCGGACTTGCTCTTCTTGCCTTTGTATTGAGACCGCCCTGTGATTCTGTTCTCTCGCAGCGAACTGAGCCATTCTCCGTTGGGTGTTTGTTACGAATACTGTAGTGGCCCGCGCTGTTGCCGCTTGGATTGCCACCGCCATTTGTGCTCTCTGACAGTCTGGTGATCCGATGTCCATGTTCAGCATATATAAATGAATAAGTACATGAATATGTGTAATATATTAGAAGCTGCCCCCACCCTGTAATAGTGACTATAAGGATTATATGGGATTATATTAGGGCCCTATTATATTCCTATTATACCACTATTACAGGGTGGGGGCAGCTTCTAGTGTATATATATATATGTATACATATATATATATCACCTCCCTCAAAGCTGTACAACACAACCTACGACTTCAGCAGGAACCGAAACCATGAAAAACGCCCTCACTGTACATGTGACGCCTCGGGCCCCAACAAGCAAACTTTCAGCCCTCGGCCATTGCAAAACAAGTGCTGAAGCCCGGGCAGCACCCACGTGGAGATGCCAAAAGCGCTCCTGTGCCATGTCCATTACCGAGAGGAACTGGTGCCTGCGACCCTAAAGCATTTGTGACAATGTCCTAAACTAGAGCAGAAACAAGCCCAAAAAAGGAAAATGATCTGTAGCAGCACACGCAGCAGCAGGAGGAGTAGCAGTAGCAGTAGCCCCAGAAGTAGTATTAGTAGAAGAAGAAGTGGTAGTAGCAGTAGCAGTAGCAGTAGCAGTACCAGTAGCAGTAGCAGTAGCAGTAGCGGTAGCGGTAGCAGTAGGAGTAGCAGTAGGAGTAGCAGTAGGAGTAGTAGGAGTAGTAGGAGTAGTAGTAGTAGTAGCAGTAGTAGTAGTAGTAGTAGCAGTAGTAGTAGCAGCAGTAGTAGCAGCAGTAGTAGTAGTAGTAGTAGTAGTAGTAGTGGTAGGACTACTACTACGACGCAACTATACCGATACCTGAGAGCTGCATGTTCTTGCATGCGAGATGCGAAAGCGCAAAGTCGGGCTCGGCAAGTACTCGGGTTGATCCTGAGCTAACGTGCCGGTCGATGCATCAGGATACTTTTGATGTACTTCGAGCACTGGAATACTGCTCTGTACTCTGCTTCTTCGTTGAGTCGTAACGGTGTAACTTGCTGCAACCAGTCTCTGTATCTTGTGGGCTTGGGTTACCAATGCAGAGATCTGCGATTCCGATATTCTGCATTGGAGGCATCGCCTGTGCATAATCAATGTGCTACGTACCTCAACTAAGCTACGTGAAAATTAACCCTGCTGCCTAATCAATCCATTGCCGACACTGCACGACAACGGAAATCTCACACGAAAGCCATGAATCCTTGGCTGGGGCGGAGCTGTTTTCCAACTGCTTCCGCTTCGGTGGCGTTACGTCTGCGCTTCGATCTTACAGATCGAAGTAATCGATCTTACAGATCGATGTAGATCTTCCGAACAGGAAGCATCAGAGTTCCTTCTGCTGGGAGGACCGACTGGTTCCCAGGCGGTTCTCGCAGACAGGAAGCAGAGGAAAATGAAAATGAAGAGAAGAGGGTCGGGACGGGTGGGTGAAACAAAATTTCGCGCAAGCTGCAACAGCTTTCGCCAAAATGGCCACGGAGTATGCAATCGATCGAATTGAATCGGTGAGTCAATCCCCTGACCGATTCGGTGTTCAGGTGAGATAATAAGTTGTCACTTCGCACAAACAAGTGTGTGCTACACGACAACGGAAATCTCACACGAAAGCCATGAATCCCTGGCTGGGGCGGAGCTGTTTTCCAACTGCTTCCGCTTCGGTGGCGTTATGTCTGCGCTTCGATCTTACAGATCGAAGTGATCGATCTTACAGATCGATGTAGATCTTCCGAACAGGAAGCATCAGAGTTCCTTCTGCTGGGAGGACCGACCGGTTCCCATCGAGGGTGGTCGCGTCCTCCCATCGCAGGCGAACGCCACGCGAAGGGTAAGTTAACCTGTCATCGCAGTCAACCGATCGTGCAATCTGTGAATTTCGGGTATGTCGGAAAAACCCGTAGAGGAAGCAAAATGAATGTCTCCTATGATCTTCGCAGCCCTGCTAGTCAGAGCGTTCAGAGGTAAGTCGAGTTTAGTCCATGCCTCAGACTCTGGGACGTGCTCGAAGCGGCTGATCCCGTCGGAGATGTTGGCCTTGGTGGGAACAGGTTCGAGTCGATGTGCAAGACTTCGTCGATTGTGCCAAGTCCAATGTGCCGCGATGAGGCAATTGAGAGGCTGATGTTTGCCAACGCCTTTGAGGAGGGCGTGTCGGGAAGCCTCGTTGTCGCAGCATTGGACGTAGAACCTATCAAGCCATGGCTCGAAGACCAGCGGTGCCAGGATGGCCACCCAAGCTTCGAGAAGGCAAATGAAAGCCTGGTCGGAGGAGAACTGTCGTACTAGTAGTGAGGGGAGACGACCCTGGAAGTAAGCGGCAGTTTGCACATCACCGTGGTGGAAGCAAACTGCAGCCCATCCGTTTTCGATGTCGGATGTCGATTTCGAGTCCCAATTCGGGATTTCGGTGTCCCCCGGCCTATAGATGTTGTCGCCGAGGCGGAAGTAAGCGTCCGTGTAGATGACGCTGTATTTGGGTCGGGTCATCTGCCGCGGTATCGTCATCGGGCGACACACATGTTCTCGACGCGTTTTGGACAAGGACGCCTTGGATCCGATGGGCTGTTTGAGGTGGTTGTCGTTTGCTGGGTTTCATCGAGATTTGTAAACACCCGTTGTACTCTTCGAATGACTCGAAGCTGCCCTTGGCCAAGTCGGAGTCCTCCATGGAGCCGTAGTCGTCGACGTAATGCATCGCTGGGGACAGAATCATGGTGCGGCTGCAGGCGACCAAAATGTCGCCGAATCGGTTATACGACCATACACTAGCGGCCGAACCAAAGAGGAGGACGTTGTGGCTCCATAGTGTCGGGCCGTCTGGCGTCAGTAGCATCACATAGGCTTCTCGAGGATCTCGGAGTGGGAGTTGTCGGTATGCTCCGTCGTGGTCGTGTCCCCAAACCGAGAGGGGCTTGAGTTGATCATGTCGAATCGTCGCAAGTCCCAGGGAGATGAAGTGATCGGGCGTGTGATGGTAGGGCTGGTCATGCATCGTGCATGTCGCGTTGTGTCCACTTCGTCGCCAATCTTCGCCTCGTCTGACCTTGTTGCTGCCGTCGCTGCCCGTCTGTTCGATGCTGAAAGCCATGGCGATGTAGGGGTCGGAGTGTGGCAGCGGCAGTAAGGTACGATGTCGTCCTTTGTGTGGGACGGTTGCCGCTCGAGGCCACCAATCCGGAGCCTGAAACGGTCCGTTCATCCGTCCCATGTCGACTTCTGCCAAGATCTCGTCCAGCATGAGTTCCCAGTGATCGTCAACGGAGTTCTTGTCGATCTTATCTGTGATGTACTGTCGGTTTTTCTCGCTGAACTCGTCGATGGGCGTAGGCTCGAGGTACTTCTGGTCTTGTCTCACGTGCCAGTTAATCCCAGGAGTCAACTTCCCCATGAGGGGGGAACCTTCGGAGAGCTCGCGGTAGATCAGCTCGGTTTGTGGATATTGTAACATCCTGAGCAGGACGGGTATCTGTGTAACCGAGTCTTTGTGCCGATATGCTCGTTGTACGTGTTGTGGAAGGGTGTCAAACCATGCCGTCGTGTGTTCTTCCATGTCGTCGACGAGAGCCCTAATGTCGTCGATGACGGCCTTCTGGAATTCCATGAGTGGGTGCAACACATGTCGATGTCGGAGGCACCACTCAAGCGTAGGGTCGAGTGTCTTCGGTGACAAGTGCGTATCCCTATGTAATGCCCAGTCGAGATGATCGGTCCAGGAGAATTGTGGCATGTAGTCGTGGTTTGGTGTTCGGGGTGGTGGGCCAAATGGTACCTTATTGTGCAACCAAAGCGAGGAAATCTGTTGCAATGGGGAAACTCGGGGTGTATCGGGTATGGATGCGTCAACAGTCCCCAGTAGGAGCAAGAAGATGATCCAGATCGCCGTAGGTAGGTGCCAAGCGTTGCCCAGGGCTGTGCAACGTTTGGTCTCGTCTCCATCTCCGAGTGCCGCCGTGTAGTCCAGAGGTAGGCCTTGTAGTTGTTCGCGTAAAGACGAGGGAGCTGTAGTCCACGACCCGTCCGGCAAGGTGACGAGGAATTGATCTTCATACTGCCACACCGGGTATCGGCGATTGTCTTGTTCCCATCGGTGCCATGCATCTTGTGATGTCGAGCGGTCTCGGAGTTGTCTGGGGGGTTCCCGTCCAAATGTCGACGTACATGGTGTAGTCAAGCAGTGAAACAGTTTCTTGTCGGTGTGAAGACACGGTGGTAAGGAGTATCCCCGGGCCGAGATCTGGGGTTGCAGGTCGGAGCCGATCGGGTTGTGTAGTCGGTGCCATTCTCCGTCGAGTCGCCAATCGAGTGACCAAGGTGTGAGACGAGGTAGTCTTTCTTCGACGGTGTTCCAAGGAATCGATGTCCACCACAGTCTTTTGCGATGCATGACGCCGGAGTCTGCGGCGTCGATGACGATCGGATCCATGCTCATCGGAGATGTGAGTTCCACGACGTAGTCTCGCACGTCCGGGTGGGGCACCACATTCTCGAAGATCGTCTCGATCGGGACGCCCGTGAAGTGTTTGCGAAGTTGGTGTTCGATGCTGACCATGTGTCTGAAGAGCCAACCTGATGTACCATCGGAGCCTTTGGGTTGACTTCGCAGACTTGAGAAATCCGGACACGGGGGGCCTGCCGTGATCACCATGATGTACTGTCTGTTATTCGTCGCGGTCTCGATGTGTTGTACCACGGTGTCGAGGTTGAACTGTTCGACGTCCCCCATCTGTGCAGAGCCGAAGAGTTTCGATGTGAAATTCGCACAATCGGAGTCGATCTCCCAAGCGAGGGTGATGATGACGTTCTCGTTGATGCGTCGCAGTGCCTCGGAGGCGATCCCGATACCATCGAAGAAGGACAGGTGCACCACCGGCAAGGTGCCTACCAGCTCGTGGCACAGTGTACAAATCCGGTCGTGTGGGTCTGTCATTCGATGGTCGGCTCCAGAGTCTGAAGACCCTGGGCCGTGCTGTCCCTATTTCTTGCCGGACTTACCGGCCTTGCCTTCCTTGCCGGCGCCCTTCGAGCCCTTCTCGCCCTTCGCGTTCCACGGGGGTCGTAGTGAGACTTGCGGAGCAGGGTTGAAGGGAATCGTCGGAGTAGGTGTCGGTGTAGTGAAGTTCGATGGTGTTGAAGAAGTCCAAGATTGTGTCGGTGCCGTCGGCCATGACGGCAACGTTGGTGCGCTCCATGGTTGCGTCGTCGGCTGCCAGGATCGCCACTGAGTTGTCATCGTCGTCCAGGGTTGTCGATATCGCCGTCCTTGTCCCGGTGGAGACCATTTCTGTTGGTATCCTTTCCCCTTGCCTTTGTAAGGTTGTTCGGAGCCTTTACCGACTCGTGGTCGCTTGGAGAGCGGTTGTTGCATGACATCGTTGACTCGCGTGAGGTCGTTCATGAGGTCTTCGGAAATCATCTGGAAGGTCTCGTTCGAGCGCATTCGCATGGCGATGTCCCAGGAGAACTCCTCCCAGAGGCTCTTGACATTGTTGATGCGTTGTGAGTGTTTGCGGACCAGTCGGATGAACCAATCGACGTACTTATTGATGACCGTCTCGGAGGAGTACTTGATGAGAATCCATGCCCATCGGATTGCCTCGATGGCGTCGATGAGCATCCATTGTCCTCGTACGTCCCACTCTTCGTGTGCTTTCTCGGTGATATTGTTGCGTTCATCGAGGACCAATTTCTTCTCATTGGTGTCCTTCTTCCTGGTCGAGTTAATCGTATTGAAGCTCGTCCAAGTTCGTTGTGACACGATCTCTCCCAATGCTGTGGCGGTGTACATCTTGGATGTGTGATGTTCGTGGTACATTCGTGCGAGAACCTTTTCTGCACCCACGAGGTTCCTCTCCGGGAATTGTCGTCGTTCTCCATCGACCGTTATGCTATTGTAG